ATGCCATGCCATGCCATGCCATGCCATGCCATGCCATGCCATGCCATGCCATGCCATGCCATGTCATGTCATGTCATGTCATGTCATGTCATGTCATGTCATGTCATGTCATGTCATGTCATGTCATGTATGTATGTATGTATGTATGTATGTCTGTGTGTATGTATGTGTGTATGTATGTATGTATGTATGTATGTATGTATGTATATACGCACACACACACACACACACGCACACACACGTACATATATATAGATAGATAGATAGATAGATAGATAGATAGATAGATAGATAGATAGATAGATAGCTTGACCCTAGCGTTGACATCGGCGTGGTTTGGCGTTGAGCTCTTCAGCAACAGAATGTGTAGCATCCGCCGACGAGAGGACGTGTGCCATAAATCACGCGCGGAGCCTGCAAGGAAGCTCTCCGCCACTGCGACCTTGGATGCGATCCTCGAGCCTGTAGTTGGCTGGTTTAGTGCAGGTCGAGGGAGTTCAGTGCCCTTTAGGGCGTGGTGACCTGAAAGTTGTCGTGTGCCGACACATGGGCAGGCCTGGATTATGTGGTTGAACTCTCAAGCCAAGCCGAGCTCCAGCGTAAGGCCTGATAGGATCTCACAAGCAGTTCTGGTTGTCACCCGATCTACAAGAATGATGGAAGCGTCATAGGCACAATCGGCAGCATGTTTCTCAAGACTGCGAGACTGCGACTCGTCGGCACGAGGACTGAGGGCGGCCAAGTCGTCGATCCATCATCCGGTTCCTCGGTGACTGCTGCTTGGGCGGTCATGGGATGCTCTCTTTTGCACCCAGCACCCGGTGCAAGTAGTGCCCGCGAAGGTCTGCATATCAACGACGAGCGAAATCTCTGCCAGAACACCTTCACCAAAGCTCTCACTGGCGCTGTTTCTAGATTGTTGACCAAAGGCCCCACCCAGAATGCAATGTGTTGCTCTGTCCAGATGGCACTGGCAGCCCGGATGCTCCGATCCATGGCCTGAGCTCAGGTGCCGCCGTCGAGCTTGGTCTATGCAGACGGCTCGCCTGTGACGGGGCCGGTGACAGTGCAGGACTCAGGCATACAGGACGAAGCTCGGACGCCCGAAGAAAAAACCCCAAATGAAGTCGTAGACAGTCCTAGTAAGGCCGGAACCGGCCAAAAAACCTGCCGGAACCTGCCGGAACTTCCTAGACTCCTAGACGGAGAAAGAAGCCTTTCAGGTGAGCCTTTCCGTCATTGACGCCACCGATCCCGCGAGCTTGGCTTCAATGCCAGGTACCGCTCCGAGCTTTGAAAGTCTAGGGGCCCTGCAGAGTTTCAGAGGTTGGGGCCTGTTTGAAGCAAGATATACTATGGTTATATGTATATATATATATACATACTTGTATATATACACAGTATATAGGGTGTATATATACACATATGTATGTATGTATGTATGTATGTATGTATGTATGTATGCATGCATATATGTGTGTCATAGATGAGGTGGGGAGTAGGGCGTAGTGCTTCTCGGGTATGGCGGAGAACGGCAATATGGCGGAGAACGGCAAAGCACACCCTTGGAACATGTGCGAAGAGTCTTGGAAACCTCGATGTTCAAATCTTGCAACGCCTTATCCATCTCAACTGTGCCTTCACTTCATTGTGACCTGAAAACCATACTTTCCGACACCACCCCAGACCCCACCAACATCATCACCACAGCAGCTTGATGATCGCCAAGGTGTCCACACGCTTATATGTGTACTCTCACGATGGTTCAGACCTAGGCAACGATGACGTGCAATACTGAAGAGCAAGGCTGCTGGATCCATTGGCCTCCTTACGAAAAGCAGCTCAGTGCCAGATAATTTCAATACCAGCGCATCAAATGCGTAGCTTGTCGTATGATTCAACAGAAACAGTTCGGAGCTTCACAGCTGCGGGACTAGCCTCTCACCATGAACATGCTGAGTGTCTGACGTGAGGCGACTTCTCGGCGATAGGAGCAGATGGTGAAAGCGTGATGCTGGAGAGCCACTTTCCGGCAGGGTAAGGATGTTTTGAGGAAGCTGTTAAGATTGCAATGCGGGCCATTGCACTCATAGTCGCCCGGTTCAAAGTAGGAAGTATGGACCACCAAATTACCTAATGGCACCGCGTATCTCACCACGCATGCTCTTGGCATGAATCCCAGATCAAAGGGCGCTGGGATACTGGTTGAAGACTTCCCCTGCAAAGTCGCACATTGGTTTGAGGATGGAGTAGCACTTCTTCTTTCCGGCGCGCCTTCGAACTGATGCCAACTCTGTCAACTCTCCGTCTCGACCACACATGTGCGAAACAAGGTCAAAGTATCGTAATGCACTATGACATGCAAAACGTGTGGTTCCGTTCATGGATCTGAAGATTTTACCCGCCAGTCTTGCTCGCGACGATAGGTATTCTGAGAAGCTTCAAAAGGCTATTGAGTCTTGATAGAAGGCAGATTTCGTTGAAGAAAAGGCTCGACTAAACTCTAGTATCTCTTGAAACAAGCTCTCTTAGGTTTTCACAGTGGGTAACCTTGCAAATTTCAAAGATCGTTTGGGGTGTCCCGCCCACAGGCCTAAGCGTGTAGGATCGCCCAGACCGCATGAGCCCGCAGAAGGGGCTTCGCTCTGAATGCTCGGCTGATCTCTAAGTCCTCCCGTTATAGATGTCCTACCTGGATGAATCTATTGTTCCGAAGCTGAACAAACGCTTAACCCCCTAACCTCTAACGGTTACTCTAGCGAAAACGTACCCCAAACCCTCGTGCCTAGATCGTCCGAGTCTTGAGAGTTGAATTGCGAGGTCTTGGTGCTGCTTGGATTGGCGCCGTGGATTCCAAGGGCGAAGCCTTGGAGGTCAAGGAGGACTCGGAAGGCCGCAGGGGAGCCAAGGGAGGAGAAAGATGAAAGTTGCCAGAGACCTTTGTACCACGGCTGCTTCGCCTCCTTAGCTGCGGCTGCTACTGGAGATTCGAGATTTGGACGTAGAAGGGGGCGTGGACGTCTTGGTCGGCGACTTGGGCGGTGAGCCACCGTCACTTCGTCCTCCCTTCGGCTTAGGGGGCGTAGGGGGGCAAGCCCGTCCTGAGGCCAAAGTGTTGCGGAGCGAGTCCGACTGCTGCTGCTGCCTGCTGCTGCTACTAATACCACCACCACCACCACCGCTGCTGCTGCTACTGCTACTACAACTACCAGTACGACGACAACGACGACGACGACGACGACGACGACTACTACTACTACTACTCCTACTTCTGCTCTTGCTACTGCCGCTACTGCTACTGCCCGCTACTGCTACTGCCCGCTACTGCTACTGGTACGAATTAATTCTGCGACGCTCGGAAATGGGTCGGTGCATGCATAATGAAGCTGGGAGCCAGGAAGGAAGCTTGTCCCAGCAGCATGCATTCCGTCACGTCTAGCTGCTCCCGCGATGTGGCTGGAAGGTGTGACTCTGGACATCCATACCACGGTCCAAGCCAAAAATGCCGCGAAATTGGAGGTGCTTCCAGAGACTCTCGGTACTCGAAGCGCAAGCCTTCGGACTACAAAGCTTGTTTACAGAGGCTCTGCGCAGCCCGCGCGCATGTTGGAAGCCGTCTAATTAAGTTTGATCTCTGGGCAGAAGCTTGCAGCTGCAGTCCAAAGGTTCGGTTCCCCGCAGCTTACCTCGTGCGCCCCCTGCGCTGTCTGTTGGCACGACTTGCATGTGGACGATTGTGGACGTATGTAGGACTACCCTGAAGGGCCGTACAGCCCTGAGGATGTGGAGCTTCGACGAAGAGACAGGGAAGTGGCAGCTGGCAGCTTCAGACATGGCGATCGACGGACGCCTGGCGCGACAGTGGGGTGCTACAGAGGGGAGGCAGTTCCAACGACTCACGCCATTTTCTCTGTTTCATTGCTCCGACACTTGTGTTCAGCCGAAGCTGCCACATTGGGATTTTTGGCCAAGCACCAGAATGACTCCGGCGACTTCGAAGCCCAGGCCAAGCTGCGCCAAATGCATCACGTGTAACCGTCCGTGAGGCCAGGCCCGCTGTTTTGATGGAAGATGCCGCGCAGGATCTGCTTCTTTTCCGTACACCTTTTTTCAAGACCTCTGCTCCTGCGTTTCAGCATGCCTTGTTGAAAGCGAAGGCTTCCAGCAGAAAGGTCCGAGGGCATTTCGCGGAGCGAGCTGATGTCGGGACAACTGGGACAAGCATTCAAATGGTCCGGCTCGAGCATTTGCAGGCTGCGTTTTCCCCACCTATTCTCCGCAGACCTTCCTGACTGCCATGGCGTCCCCAACCTCCCGCGATGCCGCCGTGGACTACAAGGGCCTAGGCCACAAGCAGGCCCAGCCGGAGGCCCGCACCTCCCGCAAGTGGTACTTGGTCGGCGCTGGCCTGGCGCTGCTCGGCGTGGCCGGGGTGGCCGCCAAGGTGGCTCACTCCGGTGGCGCCTTGTTTTCCTCGAGTGCCACACGGGGAGGAACGATACAGGAAGCACAGACATGGGAGGAGCTGCCCGGCATTGACAAGGTGATCCGCAAGGCCCAGAGCTTGAAGCAGGACAAGCCTCTTCGCAATCTTCAAGATCTCTTCTATGATTCCCAGCCAGAAGAGCTTCCGTGGATCAGGACTGACTGTGTCACTAGGTCACCAGGGCTTGCTGCAGGGTTTTTGGGGGTCGCTGTTGGTCGTAGAGGTGATTCGCAGCTCCAGAGAGAGCGTCACCCCGTGACTTCAACCCGAGGACTGAGTGCGTCATTGACACAGTGCAGGCCGCTGCATACCTGGGCCAGGCTGTCGTCTTCCTTTACAAGGCCATTGACTACGATGGACTTGAGTGCCCAAACAACTCGCCTGTTGGCTGCGCTGCCAGCGTCGCAGGCTTCATCACGTCCATCAGCTGGATTGCCTCGTACCTGTCTTTTGCGGCGAACGCCTGCGGCAACGCCGTCAATAACGGTGCGCTTTGTGCTGGTGACTTCACAGCACTCATGGCCAACTTCGGCGAGATCGCCACGGTGGGCGCCGCCGCCAGGGCGGACTGCGACTTCGGCAAGAATGCCTTCCAGATCCTCACGCGCACGGAGACGATCTCCCCTCCCTGGAAGGAGTTCGTCCCGGCAGGGGCCTCGCCGGCGGTCGACAAGGCCTTGAAGGTCAAGGGCCATAAGGACCAGCAGCGCAATCGTGACTACGACATCGTGCAGTGCGCCGTGGACGTCACCAACTCCGCTTCCTACATCGTCCGAGTCATCCTCCAGATTCGTGCCGCAGGCAGTGCTTGTGCGGACCCGAAGTCCTGCGCTGTTGGCATCATGAACATCATCTCCTCCTTTGCCTGGATCTCCCAATTCACGGCCCTCGCTGTCTCGGACTGCCAAGTGGGTGCCGACCAGAAGGCCTTGTGCACGGCCGACATCTCGGCCACTTGGCGGTTCTTGAACAAAGTTGTTTATGCCCGAACGGCCGGATAGTCTTTTCTGTAGAGTGGACAAGATTTAGAGGATCCCAAGAACTGCCCAGGACATGGTGGCCGCGCTCACCAACGGCCCGGCTGCCGGAATCGCCTCCACTTCGGACTGTGCTGACCTCTAAGCTGTTTCTTTGCGGCGAAGCCGCGATGGGCCCCAACTGCCAAGAAGGCAGTTGTATAATAGAGTCCTTAGAATCAGCTTCCAACAAGGGCTTTTTGGCTTCCCGCTCAGTCAAACAACCGGGGTGTGCAGCACGCACACCGCCTTCCAGAGGCTTTCAAACCAGGCTAACCTGTAGCGAGTGCCTCTCGAGATTTCGGGGCCAGCAGGCAGGTTCTGATCATGTTGCTACTTAGCCCGAAAGCTTGACAGCGTGATGGACTGCTTTGGCCCCGACGTTTTGCCAGCTTGTTCAGCGTGGCTCTGCAGCATGTTGACAAATGTGGTCAGGTGATGTGAGTTGTTGCACACAGGAGGACTCACTCAAGCCGGCTGCCGGCACTCTGCAGAGCACAACTTCCCTGACTTTCTTTCTTGTCACTGCGAGTGCCACACGGTAGAAAATTTCGCAGATCGGCGAGCATGCAAATGGGTCGACGGAGCTGCTAGACTTCAGGCATCGTCTGCATCAAGGTTCAAGATCGTGTCGCCATCGGATCGGCCAGCTGTCCATTCCCTTCCCTTCCCTTCCATTCCCTATCGTATGCTTTCCATGTCTTTATGAGTTTATGTCATGTATGTCCCACTATGCGCACTTTCGCTGTGCCCTCGTCTCCATGATATTCCATGAACAGGCACCTGAACGTAGTGCTTTGAGAAGCATCGCTCGATCACGGGCCTTGTTTGGCTGGTTTCTCCTGCAGAGGAAACAGCGGTCGAAGAAGAGCTGCCGAAAGCCCGGCCGAGAAAGTCGAAGCGTGCACCCTGGCACGCAGTGGTCCAGGGCAGCATCACTTGTCATCTTTTGTGTACGTTTGCCTGGGAGAACCCGAAGACTTTGCTTTGTCTTTCGATGTAGCCTGGCAGTAGTCGGATTTTCCGAGTCCCCTCGAAGACCTCCTTGGCAGGCCTACCGAAAGCCGTTTGATCCGGAAAAGGCGGGGCGTTGAGTAGCGACTGCTGCAGCTTGACATATTTAGTCAGGGATCCCTGTACGAATGCGCCTAATTCCACGCAGCCCTTTCCTGCGATCACCCGTCCATACAGCAGGTTTCCCTTGTTGAGGTTCATTGCGCTGCCAGCAGCCGGATTGCAAGCATTGTAGTTGCTTTGGGCAAGTTTGGTTGGCTCCCTGCTTGATGACGTTAGCGACTGTTGACATCATGAAGTTCTGGCAAGCTTTTGTTCGGAGGTGGCGAAGACGTGGATGACCCCCGAGGCTCTGGCAAGACAGCCTTGGCTCGTGAGTACGGTTTTGTATGTGCGTGCATTTGTCACAGCTCTCAACCGAAGCTCTGACGGACTCCTCCATTCGCAAGACTAGCCACGCCCAGCCTCCTCTTTGCAGCACCAGGCATTCCGGGAAAAGCTCGCACAGGAGGGCGAAAAATCGATCGCGGCCCCCGTGTCGAGCCTTGGCAACTGAAGCAAAAAGAGGTCACGACAGTATTCAGTGAATTCGAGCTGATGGACGAGCTTCGCGGAATCATCATTCGGCACCCAGCCGCATGTTCGGAGCACTTGCCATTGTTTGATTCGGACTAAGTCGAAGCGAGAGTCTCCCTCAGGGCAGTTACAGTTTGGATGGCCATCGGGTCAATCCAGGGAAGTCGCCCAGTCGCAGGCCTTTCTTTCACGGGGAGCCATGGGTTTTACTGTACGGTATTCTCAAACTCCACAGTCCGTCACCGTTTGTTTCGGCCTTGGTGTTGCACCTTTGAGGCAAGGCCAGTCCCGAAGCAAAAAAGGGCAAGGAGCTTGGGCATAGCAGCGCGGGCCCGGGGGTCATCAAGGGATCCAACAGGCGATGCAGGGCAGGATGATGGAGGGCTGAACTCACATGCGTCAGACCACAACGAAGTCGCAGGGCGCGGCCTCAGCTGCAAATCTGGCGAGAATTGCACGGTCTTGCCTGGATTTTTATTCAGAAGGCCTGAAACGGCATAGCATGGCAGCTTGAACTCACCATGCACTTGCAGATTGGACAAAGCCAGCATTTCGTGTGTATGAAAGGAAGTTGGGTTACTGGAACATCGACATGGCGTACCACTCTCCAAACAGAGCGGTCATGTTCAAAGGCAGGGAGCATACTGGTTACAGAATGCAGCCCAGTCGTAGGCTTTGTGACGCATCCCAGCGACTTACACCTAAGGTGGCTCTGTAGACGCTAGTGTTTCTCGAGAATCCTACCTCAGCATCAGCTGGTGCATCATCTTGAGTGCTCAAGACGTTTAGTTTCAGCCAGAAGTGCAAGAGCAGCACGGAACACAGTCTCGGATCGCCGGCCACAATCCATGTGGACTAGATCGCTCATGCTAAGATGTCTGTCCTGCGAGTTGCTCAGAACTGCACCTGTGACAGCCTGTCACCCCAGAACTCCGAGAAACTGTTCTTGTTTCGTGGAGGACGGGTACTGGATCGTGCTGGAGATCCTCTTGCAGATGCTCAGATTTGGGGCGTCGGGAAGAGTCACATGGTCTTGAAGGGCTCATTCGTGTTTGTTTCAAGTGCATTTGAGGACTGTCCGACGTTTATCTTGTAGCACGGAGTGGTTGAGGTTCGCTGATTCTGTCCAATGCAGGCAAACACTTGCTCTTGCAGCCTGGCTCTAGGGGTCTAGCCGACGCTTCCATATGCAGGCGGTCAGCATTCCTGAAGAGCCTTTAGGCATCTCTGAACGAACTTGCCGTGAACAGTGGAGATGTGAATGAGGCTACCATGGCCGGTCGCCCGACACAACTGACAAGGAGTGACAGGGGCGGGGAGCATTTGCATGATGGTCTGGAAATTCACCTCTATTATCAGCGGAGCAATTCTACGACCACGCTTTGTGAAGGATCGGAAAGTATATTCAGCGTATTCCTTGCCGCAGGGTGGGCGCTTTGAAGCTTTGGTGGTTCAGTTTGACAGCGAGGTGGACGTGGAGGCCAAGAAAAAGACATTGGACGTGTAGATCAGATTCCCTGCCGCGCCTTTAGTTTGCTGCATGAAGCGTTGCAAATGCAGCAAAGCAGGGCCTCACAAGCGTGGAATTGCAGTTCCTGCAAGACGCGCTGTGTGAGACTCCAGACAGGCAGTCAATGCAGCCAAGACACCCCAAATCACAGCTCGTTTGAGTTTAAGAACTGACATGGACACCAGAGATCTCCTGTTCAAAATCGGGGTCTTGACACCAGGTCTCTTATCGCAAGCCCGCGGACTCCGACAAGAAGCTGGATGTGTTTTTCCAGGCGCTCTTCGCGGTTTGAGCTCTCGCAAGCTTGTGTGCAACAGCCAGCAGCAGTTTTAGGTTAGCCGAGCTGTGCAGAGAGGATCTGGCATATGCTTAGCCGAGGTTGCTGCGTGGTTCTAAGATTCGAAGAGTGCGTTTTCAAGACTGCTTGGCCAGGGCGGCTATGCACCGAGGGTTTCCTCGCCACCTGCCGTTGACATTCTTAGCTTTCGGAGGGGGCTTTCGGTTTGCTTTCCTCTGTTGGCGGGGGCCTGAGTCGCTTGGTAGCGTTCTGGTCCCGGTCCCTCTGGTGGTAGGAGCGGACGGGCAAAGCTGCAAGGAATCGAAGTCGTGATACAGGCGAGCTCACAGGCCAAGTCTGAGACAGTCGTAGGACACTGAATAGCCACATCCGATGCCTTCCCTGCTGCAAAGACCTTGCTGTGGCTTGATTGCTGTGAAGCTGGCATTGCCGAGGGTGACGGTGGAGAAGCTGCTGGCACAGCTTCCGGGCTCCTACCACTTGGATGAGACGAAGGCATGAGTCTCGGGACAGAGGTTGTGCACTGATCTCTCTCTATCAAAGGGTGTCGTAGTCAGTCGTTTTTCTGCCGTCGATCGAGGCATTAGCATAGCACACAGCAGTGGTTGCTCGATCGGCTTAGGAATATCCACGCTGGTGGAAGAGTGCCACCTGACTGCAGCGAAGTTCATGGATCAGTCACCCTGCGGTGGCTGAACCGACATGACACAATGCGATAGTTGAATCTTGTATTCAGCCACCGCGCCATTACTGAATCCTGTATTCAGCCACCCTGGACCTCAACCCAAGAGGCCGCGGAACCAGTCCTGAGCCCGTGTCCGAAACCATCCGGAACTCCACCAGACCCTCAACTCCATATCAGCTGGGCGGGTGGGAACAATATCCGTGCATGCAGTATCCGTGGGGTATGTCAGTCGCTGGGGATTGTCCGGATTGGCCGGTGTCAAGCAGTGGCCGAGCATAGCCAAGACTGAGCATAGATTGCGGGGTCTTCAAGCGAAACCCTTCGACTGTCACTTCATTCACTTGCTGTCCCTTCTTCTTCTCTCCTCTTCCATCGGCCTATACCTACCTATCTACTTACCCACCGGGCCATTTTTTCTATCCTTTCTTTAAGTCTTTCGGCTTAGAGATCTTGGCGGCCTCCTGGTAGTGCTACGGTGCGTCTTGGAGCATACATAGCACTGCCGACGATGAGCTGGAAAGGCTCCACAGGGGGTTGGCCCATCGTGCTCGATTCGTTGGTCCAGTCTGCGACACCGTTGGTGCCTGAGCAGCTATTGGATTGGAAGAATGAATAACCTTCAAGCTGCTCTGTGATGATGTCTTAGTCGTTTGTCTGCGGTGTGCAGTGGTAGCACCTACCTTGAAATACGCGAACCACTTAGTCTCCGAAAGCTCCTCTCCAAGCCACAAAGCCACCACTTACCTCTGCGGCTCCCCCGACTTCTCCCTTCTCGCGCGGAGGCACCTGATGGTCGGCGAGCGGGTGCTTGGATTGAGTAGCGGTGATCTAGGACTACTGTTGAGGGTATGAATCCTGCATTACCTTTAGGACCCTAAACCATGGGAACTATGGTAATTATATTAAATTATATTCCTTATTATGGGTACTGCAGGATTCAGATCATCAACCGTAGCCGGCAATGCCTACATCTTTCAGAGCTCAGGTTTCCGACTAAGCGGAGGGACATGCCACGACAGCCGCCATAAGGTTCTCTTTGGCTTCCCTGGCGACGAAGACGGGCAAAGAGGCTGCTAAGGACCATAAGAAGCCTCTCAGTTTCAGTTTTCCCGGACTTTGTCCTTCTTGCGGTTTCTTTTCAGCGGCAGTACGCCAGGGGTTTACAATCTGGGCTCACGTTGTGTGTCTCGTTTCCGCTCTTTCTCCCTCTCTCCCTCTGCCTCTCCCTCTCCCTCTCCCGCTCCGTCTCTCTTTCCGCCTCTTTCTTTGTCTCCATCTTTTCTCTGTCTCTTTCTCTGACTCTCTCTCTCTCTCTCTCGCGCTCATCCCTCGCTGTCATTTCTTGCAAAGGATTTTCGCCTTGAAGCCTTTCGTAATATGCTGTCGGGCAGAGTTTACTGGACAGTCTCCGTCGTTTGCTCTGCTTCAGGCTCCCCTGTGGGCGACGGCTGGCAGCCCACGAGGGACCTCGCGACGGAGAGCTTGACTGTGCTCAAATGCCATCGTGCGCGGAAAGTGAGCCCGGACTTTATCATGGACTTGTCTTTGCCTTAAAGATACAGTAAGTGCGACGCAGGCACGACTCCTAGGCGGCTAAGCTGACACCTGGCTCTGTGGGAATGCTGAACAGCGACACAGCCAATCCCGAAAAAAAGGCCTCAACGAATAGACTATGTGGTATCACTGAGCGACGACCTCGTGGCATGAGTTTAGCATCCTCGCCTGCGCCCCCACCACCACCACCACCATCACCATCAACACCGTCCCCGCCACCGCCACCAACAGGGTTGTACTGCACGGCCGACCGCCGCTCGCTTGCAACAACAGCAAAGCCGATGCAACAAGGACAGTAGGCTTCTAGCCATAGAAGCGCATGATGACTTCCGATGTCGCACTTCTATAGCTGCGGAGCACCGTAACTCCGACTTACTGCCGCCAGCCGAGGATCTCGGAAAAGTTTGGACCATATCACACTGGCCCTGCAGGTGGGCAAGCTTGCTTGAAAGCTTCACTAAGGATACAGTGTACATGCAACTTCCATTCTGTTGAAGACCAAGAAGACAACCTGAATCGGGGCATGAATCTCGAATGCCCACAAAGACTTGCAGACAGTCTGTTGTGGCTGTGAAGGGTTGTTGACTTGAACGCGAGGGCCTTTGTCGTGCCGTTCATGGCAGTACCTGTCAGTACCTTCGCGAGGGTACGTATTGCTCTCTATCTCTTCCGAGCCCAAGGAAATTTCGTGGATGTGGGTGAGTTCAAAACCGGCGCGTGAGTCTGGCAACTGCCAAAGCTTCAGTTGCCTGGGCTGCGAAGGCCAGTTGTGGAGGTAACACAGCTTCCGGCATTTCCGGTGGTTTTCGCCAGGTGGGAACATGCAGCGTTCAAGGCCAGTGCACGAGGCGACACGTTGCAAAAGCAACCGTCTTGGGCATAGGGGCGTCCCGGTCGCCACAAGCAAGCTGGCTGCACATCCATCGCCGAGTCTCTCAGTCATTGAGGGAGCAATTGGTGCAATTTATTGGCAAGTGGGTCGTTGGTGAGCGGTCACGTGCGTAAACAAGTCTAGCCTAGTGATGGTATCTTTCAGCTGGCCTTTGTCTGCAGAGAGGAATGTTGAATAGTAGAGTCTTGGTAAGCCGAAACCGTTACTTCATGTTTGACGCAGGGTGTGGCAGTGTGCTTGCGAATCTGGGCTTGGCATCTTGAGCCAACCATGGTTAGTTTCACTGTTTCAGAGACAGTTTTCATCGACAGGAACTCGATGCGTCCAGGAACAATCCCTGTGCAGAGGGTATAACAATCGGCAAGAGGGCCCTCTACATCCATTCCGTTGGGGCAACTCCTTCATGGCTTTGCCAGCGCGGTTGATAGTAATGACGGATTTCTTGTTCTGGGCACATTGTGGGATTTGAGGTGCTCGATAGGGCAACTTCGGTAACTAGCATAGGGGTGGCAGCAATCTCTCTGAGAACAAAGAGCCAGAGAGTGGAAGACAGTACAGTAGAGAGAAAGAATAAGAGTAAGGGAGAGGGAGGGAGGGAGAGAGAGAGAGAGAGAGTTTGTTGTCAGGTAGGGGCCTCTTGACGTGCTTGACCTGCCCCCACGGAGGCACCACACTCCGGCAAACTTTCACATAGCAGTTCAACGTACAGACTCTCCACCCAACAACAAGCGTCCCAGCCCCCAAGCAGCAAAGCAAAGCTTGCGCCCTCCATCCCCGTCCCGAACAAGAAGAAAGAGGAGCTGTTTTTGTTCCAGTGGCGAGTTGGCTGAAGAGTCCGCATTGATCGCAGAACTAGCCATAATTAGTCCAAGGATTCTGCCATGCGATGCTTGGCCGCCATGCGTCTTGCCTTGTGGGCGGCTGTGCCCATAGATGCTGGTGGGTTCTATATGTGGGATGTGAGCATCGCACATCAGGACTGGCAGGATATTGCCATGTCGGCTGATGGCTCCAAGATCTACGCATGCTCACTCAGTAGGACAGGACTCAACGGGATATGGCGGAGCCTGGATAGCGGTGTCACTTGGAGTGCTGATTGGAATAGCAGCGGTTTTCCTCTGCCCAACTGTTGCACCGCCGTGAGAGTCTCGTCCGATGGGACCACAATCCTGGTAGCGTCGTCTCGTCACCGCCGTGTGACTTTGGGCCCTACATGACATACATGTGGTTCGATCCTGTAGCACTACCACCATGTGGCTAAATCATTGAAAGTCATGATGGTGGAACGACTTGGCCATACCCTGAGCCATATGGTGAGGCAAGCCCCGGCCCCGTTGGTTCGTGGCAAAGTTTAGCTATGTCGGCCACTGCGGACTATGTGCTCGCAGCAGGCGGAGACGCACTTAGTCCATTTGTTAGGTCAGGCGACAATTCTTCGTTGTGACGCCGGAATAGCACGAACATCGGGTCTCAAGTGTTACAACCTAGTGGAGTTGCTGCTTCCGGATCTTTCAACACCGTGTCCATGTCCTGCGACGGCCAAGTCCAGGCTGCATTCGATCGTGATGCAAAGCACTTCTGGCCCTTCTGGCTAAGTCGGGAATATGGCGCCAATTTTGCATCTCTGAGCATCGGATCTGAGTTGACTCAGGTGACTGTATCGTGTGATGGTACCAAGATAGCTGCCGCTCAATCGGGTGGCCAAATCCAAACAAGCTCCGATGGAAATGAATGTGCAGCAGTGGGCGAAGTTCAGGATTGGCAAGGTGTGAGCATGTCAAGTGATGCCTCCGTAATGGCTGCAATTGTGTCCAACGGGAGCATTTGGACTAGCAATGATGGCGGCGCAAATTGGACGGAGGACACTTCCGAAGGGAGTGCCAAAATGTGGAATCGCATACTTGTGCAATCCGATGGCTCCGCCGTCTTTGCAACGGTGACAAACTCTGGACTCTGGAAAGGCGAGGAGATCAGTAGCATATCCAGCTTCACAAGGCTCATGACGCTCACATTCACAAGCACAACTGCGACGTCCTCCACTACGTCCCGCACTGCGACGTCCACTACCATCGCATCGAACAGTGGACCACGCTCTCGGACCTGGCTGATCATACGGCTGTGCCTCCAGACTCTCTATGTGTGCCTCAGCTGAGTGAGGCCCCGTGGGCAACAATTCCGATCGTGATGACATAAGTTTCCACTTGTAGCAGTAGCATAAGTGGTCCTCATGCGGGCCTCCAGGGATTCTTATCAGCCACTAAGCGGGCGAAGTCTTGGTTTGTGGCGTACCCGGGGGCCCTCTCACTCCCTGCCAATTGGACCTTCGTGGTTTGCCCCATTTCAACCAGCCTTGAACTGGGGTCGTGCTTAATCAGGTTGGACTGACTTCTCTTTGATGAAGGTTGTTCAAAAGAGTTTGGCTCACGATCAGCGATTTACATTCACATGCTGTAGCCTGGTGACAATTGCTAAGCCGTTCTGGAAAAGATTGTTATTCTACTGCCTGGGAAAAAGGCTGCAAAGACTTGCTCTGAGTTGGGAGGATTTAAGCACGCAGGAAGCGCTCCCAATGCACATGTTGGGTGCTTAATCATTGGCAATTCCTCGGGGGCGGTGTTCTGTGCAGATTTCCAATGTTGTTGGTCGTTGAACGGGTGTCCTTGCATGACCGCAGCCCTTAAGGTGCTTCCTCAACACCCAGGACCTGAAGCGCTTTGGCGGAGTGGGCCAGAAGCTTGGCACAGGCAAGGAGGAGAACGAAAAGGAAAACAAGAACCAGCTGCAGCTGGTTCTTGTTTTCCTTTTCGTTTCTCCTCCTTGCCTGTGCGAGGAGTCCAGCTTTCCTAGGGGCCTGGAGGTGAATGGGATCCGTGCAACTGTCGGAGTAACGGCCACTCAACATCTAGTTCGTAGCTCGATGTTGTAGTGGTTGTGAGGTGGCACTGATCTTGATATGGAGTGGCCGTGGAATCCTGGCATCTTTCATGCTCCCTGACAGGGAAGGTTGAGGTTGAGAGGTGATCACACTCAAGTGTTTTTCACTTTACCAGCCAACCTGGGAGGGATGTGTCATGTTTGAGGCTTTAGGCCTGGGGGTGTCCACCTCCTTGAACCCCCTGTCCGGGAGGGTTTGTTTGTTTCTATCCTTTGCTTGTCCTTCCGAACTCCAACCCGCATCAAGACAGGAATCAGTACAATCTGAACTAGGCAGGACCTTGGCCAACCATACCAAAATGAAAAAGATCTGGTGTGAGACATGGAGCTTGGGAGAAATTCGGATTTTGCCTACGCGTTTAGAGCCTTATACATATGAGATAAGGAGGGATATTATTTGCGCTTCCTAAACTCCGGTTTTATGAAATATTTCATTCGATTAAGAAATTATAAATTGTGAAGAGATGATTTTTAGACAGAAAATTTTAAAGCCTCTGAAAAATAAAGAAATAATTCTAAGACATATATTTTGAATTGAATTTAATTTGATTTTTAAAAAATGTTTATCGATATTTCTGATATTAATTTTTCGATAGAAATTAATTATGATAATAAAATTATATTAGAAAGAAATAAAGATGATGATTTTGAATAATAAAGGATTGACACAATTCTTATTTTTCTATATTTTTGTCGTTATAGAGAGGTCTTTGTTTCTTTAACGAATATCTTATATATATGTCCTAACGAGCCGTCCGAAACTCGCTATTGCCTTGTATTTTGTGAGACGTGGTTTGCCATTTTGCGTTTAATATTTTATTTGTAAATTATATCGTAATGTTCGTATAGCTGCCGGTGATATGTTATTTGGTGTGAGTTCTTATCGTAGCGTATGTTAAATCAGCATGCCTGAGCACTGGGTTTTTCGATCCTAAGAGAGAGGGAATATATGTAAAGCACATGTGAAATTAAAGCGGTGTGCACAGAGGCCCGCTAACGGTATGGTGGCTCAAGTATGAGGAAAACGAAGACCTCCGAAGTGAGGGTCCTAGGACCCGTTGATAGGAGGCTTTGGTTTGGGGTAAGGCGAAGGCAGGTTTCTCAAGGGTTGCCAAGCCGGCTTTTGAACCCCCTTTTTTCTTTCCTTCTCACCTCCTTAGTTTCTTTTTAAGGTTACTTCGGAGCTTGTGAGTGTGTGTGATCGTTTCTTGTTTGAGCGGATTCGTGTAGTTAGGTGATTAATTCTCGTTTAATGATTAATTAGGCACGTTTCTACGTAGGCGTCGCCTCATGGAACTCTCTGCTGGTACTGAACTTGGTCGTGTTGATTAACAGGTTATGAGTGCCCAATCCTCGCAAGCGCCCCCTACGGTGCCAGAGAGGTTGGAGGGCGAGTCTGCAGGGCCCAACTATGGAGCCATTCCACAGGAAGAGCAAGGACTAAGAACACCTCAGCTGCCCAATGGGGTTTTGCACAGGCAACCTGGTGGAAGCCCTGGGAACGGCGAGATCGAGTCTTTGCCATATTCTCCTGTAGTGGGCCAGCGGCTTTTGGAGGCCCCGGGGTCTTCAGCTGCTGGTACAGATGCGGCTATTTACCAAGAGGCCTGGCCAGCCCAGCCGGATTCCTTGGTGGCACCTCGTGGCTCACCGCTGGCATGGATGGCCAAGCTGGGTGATTTTTTCCGCGCCCAGATGTAAGGAGCACAAGGAGCCCTGGAAACAAGGACTACTTTGACGAGACAGCAGTTGGTGGGAGCAAGAGGAGTAGAAGGTGGTGTGAATGTGTAGCACGAGCAAGTGCAGCACATTACCTCTCAGCCGGCCTCGCCGCATACAGCGATTCCTACAAGGCCGAACGACGGCGCGCAGGCGGCAGGTGGTGTGTTTGATCCGCCACTTTTTGGTGCTGGAGCAAGGAGAATTATGGATCGCTGGCCCCAGCAGGCTCCTCTACTTCATGGAAGTCCTCAGGCTGGAGGGGCCACAGATGCGGACAGTTCTGGCAGCATTCCTAGAGAACTTGTGCAAGAAGAGGTACGTAAGCAGGTGCACAGAGCTTTGGAGGACCAGCGGAAGGCAATGAACGAACTACGGCAGGAAAATCAACAATTGAAGATTGAGGCGGAAAGAGCGCGAGAGGCAGCCGTGGCACCGCGGTTGATGGATAGAGGTGGAGTTAGCTGGAGTTCAGAAGGAGCTGCGGCTGATGGTCTCGGAGTACCAGGCGGCAATCCACAGTCTGTTCCTTATGGTCTTGGCGTACCAACCAGCAATCCACAGTCCGTCCCACATGGTCTTGGCGTACCAGGTGACAATCCACAAGCTGTCACATATGGTCTTGGCGTACCAGACAGCAATCCACAGGCTATTCCATATGGTCTTGGCGTACCAGGCAGCAATCCACAGGCTGTCCCACATGGTCTTGGCGTACCAACTAGCAATCCGCAGTCCGTTCCACATGGTCTTGGCGTACCAACTAGCAATCCGCAGTCCGTTCCACATGGTCTTGGCGTACCAGGCAGCAATCCGCAGTCCGTTCCACATGGTCTTGGCGTACCAGGCAGCAATTCGCAGTCTGTCCCATATGGTCTTGGTGTACCAACCAGCAATCCGTAGTCTGTTCCACATGGTCTTGGCGTACCTGGTGGCAATCAGTTTAGTATCTCTACAAGCCGTGGGGGTGGAGCCGTAGAAGGTTTAGGGGCGCATGGAAACCGTGAAGGTCGGGGAAGCCAGCTACAGGGGGCCCTTACAGATGATGAAGCAGGTGTAGCATCACTTGGAGCCGCCAGGGGGAGGTTGGAGTTTTCAGGTCCCGGAAGGAGGGGTGCTAGCTTGGATCGACGTACTTCACCTTTGGGGCGTTCTACGAGGCCTCTTTCGTCTTCGCCGCGGCCACGCGCAGGAGGACGTGCAGGTCCCTTCTCCTTCCGAGGTGATGGTGGGGAACAATCCACCGGGGTCCTAGACGGTGATGGCTATGGTATGGTTATCCTCGGGGCGAGCAGGCTTACCGCCTGCCAGCTTACAGAGAGTCCAGAACGTTTGGGGACTATGAGGTTGGGGTTCCACCGGGTTTGGAAGGCGCTACAACCCACCATGTACCTGATCCACTACCTCCACAGCCTACTGCAACCAACATCCCAGCAGCCCCTGTGAATGAGAATAAGGAGCCCAGTCCTTTGGATGTACTTATCACGGGGATGTCTCAGCTCCAGCAGGTCCTCTTGAAGAAGAACGAGGTGATGGAGATTGACATGAAGGGCACTCCGGAGCTGCCCAAGTTGGGAGAATACACTCCAGAGACGGGTGCGATCGACTTCCAGGACTTCTTGTACCTAGTGGAGCAGCAGATCGGATCGCTGGCTAGCGGCGCGGGAGAATGGTGGCAGAAGACGTTGGAAGTTTCCCAGGCAGCGTACAGTGAGTACCAGATGCTTTCGCCGGTGAAGAGGTTGGGAGTGAAGGCCCAGCTTACACCGGAACTACGTGACGAGAAGTACAAGAGGTTGGAGCGCAAAGTGGCGGCGATGTTGCTGAGTGCTCTTCCAAAGGGCGTCAAGGACGACCTCATCGCCTACAGGGACCAGGGAGTCCACCAGATCTTGTATAGACTGATGGTGATCTTTCAGCCGGGAGGGGCTCAGGATCGAGCACAAATCCTTCGACAATTGGACGTGTCGGAGTCAGCAGCTGGACCCCCGGAGGCAGTGTTGGCTATCCGGCGGTGGTACCGCCTTTTGCAGAGGGCGTCGGACCTGGGAGTGACCTTGCCTGACGAAAGTATCCAGGTCAGGTCTCTCTCAACAATAGTGAGAAAGACCTCGGAGCAGAATGCGGACTTCAAGTTTCGTTTGGCCCTTGCCCGTACGGAGCTGCAGATCGATACGAGGCCAAACCAGCAGAATGTTTTGAAGTACATGCAACACCTGTTGGCGGAGTTGGAGCAGCTTGGTTCTACAACGAAGAAGGGCACGCCAGTGACTACACCGGCGGCTTCAACTACCACGCCTCCGAGCACTACGGCTACAACTCCGTCTACAACCTTAAAGGGCTTGCAGGGAACAGAGGCTGTCTCCAAGGCCGCTGCAAAGCCCAAGGCCGCTCCTGTTGTGGATGGGAAAAAGGTGTGTCAGTGGTTTGGCACCGACAATGGTTGTCGGAATGGCAGGTCCTGCACTTTTCAGCATAGCTGGTCTGGACTGTCCAGGGCAGAAAGGTGCCTGTTGTGCGGCTCTAAGAAACACCGGGCCAAGGATAGCACTAACAACAAGGAGTCTACATCCCCCGAGCGTGGAGGCCCGCCGCGGCCACAGAAGCCAGGAGCGGGGACTACTGCAGCGGCGACAGCGAGCACTTCTTTGGCCTCAGCTAATGTAACAGAAGAGCCTGCCCCTGGAGCTGCAACGGTGCCCCCTACCACGTCCTCTACAACCACCTCCAATAAGATTGATGCTGCCAAGGTGACCGAGATCCTGAGTGAGACCAACAAGATGTTGAAGGCCCTTACAGCCAATCAACCCGCAACGCCGGTGGCGGCGTCAAGCTCTGTCGACCCCCTCGAGATGATCCAGAAGCAGCTTGATGAGGTTCGGCGATCGAAGGTTTTGAGGGTGAAGGATGCGGCAGAGCCATCTTCATCCTTCAGCAGCGCTGTGTCGTGGTATGAAGCGAGGTTGAGCTCCTCTACAGTGTCGGGCCCAGCAAAGTCGGACTATGAAGAGGCCCTCCTCGACAGCGGTGCTAGCCACGCTTACAGGGCTCCTTTGTCGGAAGAGGAGCTAGAGGCTGCCCGTCGGGTGGGAGTTGCATTGGCCACTGGTGAAGAGCGAGCTATACCGCAAAACTCCGGCGGCACCCTCTTGAGCGAGGGCGGACATGAAGGGACCATTTTGCCGATGGGCCAATTGGTCAAGCTGTTGGGCTGCAAGGTACTGTGGAACGAAGATGACGGTGGTTCACCCTGTACATGATCGTCTTCAAATACGTCTTAAGGGCCATTGTCCAGTGCTTCCAACCTCACAAGCGTTGGAGCTCATTGCGGAGTTGGAACAGAAGCGGATGAACTCCTTTGAAAGGACCGTCACCGAGCTACAGCAGCAGATCAAGGCGATCAAGGACCGTGGTCTTCAAGGGTGGACTTGGAGGCAACACCTTGCTGCGGCCCGTGAAGGTGGAGAAAGGACGCATGTGGCGGGCTTCCTCCACAAGAACCCGGTGTTCTCCACGGTCAATGCAGAGGCGTTGTTGGGGATCCCGGAAGCGGTGCCTATGGATGGATGTGATGGGTGGAAGCTGTTGAAGGGGACGCCGTGGTTCCGAGCTAAGCGCAAGGCCCTGTTCCAGAGCGACAATTGGGTGCTTCACTTGTTTTCTGGAGACGAGAAGTCCGAGGACGCCAAGCGCCGTTCCACCATGAAGAAGTCTTTTTGGAGCGAGGCCCTTTCTGGTGATGAGGTGATGGTGGAAGTGGACGTTACATCTTCGAGGGGATTTGATCTTCTTCAGAGGGATGGCATCTTCCGGGTGTTGGCTTGGGGTGCCTTGAATGGGAAGATCAAATGTATCGTTGGAGGACCTCCTCGCCAGACGTTCCCGGCGCCCGCACAGAAGTGTGTTTCAGGCAGCCAGCATTTGAAGGAGATCCAGTTGATCGTGCGTATGATGACGTTGTTTTACATGGCGGAGGAAGGCAGAACCGCTTTGTGGAGGAAGGGGCAACTGCGGTCTATGGTGAAACCGCATGTGGGTTTCCTGTTGGAGCACCCCGACGTTCACGAAGGCGAGGTTGTGTCGTTCTTCCAAACACCATTGTGGAAGGTTTTCGCGATGGACAACCTCATGGGAGAAGTTCCTTGCACGGTGAACGACAAAGCAGTAGCCCTTGGGGGCAACATGGATGTGTGGCACCTACATGGAGCCCAGCTCGGTTCTGGAGGTTGTGGCCTGGGGTCAATCTGGCCTTTGGAGCTGGTGGCCCATGTGGCGTATGCACTCAGGGCCTGGGTTGGTCTGCGCAACAACGAAGGACTTCTCTCTTCCTTGACGAGGAGATCCTGGTTGCACCCTCCGGAGAATGCCGAGTTGAACAAGTTTGATGTTCGAGATTGGCGGCTGCATGTTCAACGGGATCATTTACCTTACAGGCGTGATTGCCGAGTATGTGTGGAGCGAGCAAGCGGAAAGCCGCACCGCAGGATGAGTTATCATTCCCCCTGCGTGCTTTCAGTGGATACCGCCGGACCTTTCCGCGCCAAGGGCGCTGGAGGGTATCGATATCTACTGGTGGGATGTTACAGACATCCTAAGTTGGAAGGCACCACCCCCGACGATGAGACGAAGCCTATGGTCCAGCCCGAGGAGATCTCGCCCAAGCCCGAGGACGGCTTGGATTGGATATTGGAGGAGGAAGAAGTTGTTGAGGGTGGCGTCGGCGAATTGGATCCTCCGGAGCCTGATCCAGATGAGGAGGAGTTGGGCCTTGAGGACCAGGAGGTTGAAAAGTTGAACGAGTTGGGGAAGCCTGTGGAGTTTGTGTCCATCTACTTGGCCAGGCCGTTGAAGACCCGGAAGAAGGCTGAAGCGTTGAAGGCCATACAAGAGATGTACATTCAACTACGCAGTTCGGGTTTTCCTTTGAACCGTCTCCACATGGATCGGGCTAGAGAGTTTCAGTCAGGTGCATTGGAATATTGGGCAGCTGCTCGAGACATTGATCTTTCTCGAACTCAAGGCTCTGATCCAGCGCAAAATGGGACTGCCGAGAGAGCTGTTGGCTACGTCAAGATGAGGATGAGGATCCTGTTGGCCCTGGCGAAGGAGTTGAGTGGTTTGGAAGATGATGTTGTGAAGACATGGTGGCCAATGGCGGCGGATACGGCGGTGGCCCAACAACAGTCAATGGCTATGGGGCGGAAGTTTCCTTCGGCGGCTAGGTTTGGTTCTCAGGTGTATACAAAGCGCAAGGGCTACGGTACTGGGAGCCCAGGAGACCTTCGGCCGAAGTGGATTGGTGGTTTCTACCTTGGACCGGCTAGATCTGTTCCGGGGGGCCACATGGTTTACACCAACGAGGGGAACTTGTGGTTCACTACTTCCATTCGTCAGTTTGAGGATCGAGAAGTTGACGTTGGAGCTTCGGATGTTCCGATGGCACATGATCTACTACCAGCGCGACGAGTGAAAGGAAAGACGAGGGCTGTGGAGCTGGCGAGCGGCGCCGGGCTGCTACCAGGAGCTTCTGATGGCTCTAAGGGAGTAGCACAGGCTGAAGGGGCGTTGGGAGCCATGGCAGCTCTCACGCAGTTTTCCTCAGATTCGGAAGATGGGCATGGGTCTTGGGATGTGGTGTCCGATGAGCCTGTGTTGTGCGAGCTAGATGGATCCCTCTCTTCCTCTACTACCAGTGTGTTCAGCCCTTCAAAGAGCTTGGCGGCCGAATTTCGTGCCCATGGTCGGTTCTCTATGGAGGATTGTTTGGCCGTGCTGGAGTCCGAGCCGTTCCTCAAGACTAGAAAGCAGCGGCAGTCAGCATGGAAGGAAAATGGTCCTCCTCCCATTCACACTACGTTGGGAGCCTATCAAAGGGGCCCTTTTGTGGGAGTTACGACTGCCACCGGCCGCCATGAAGACTTGGCTCGTTACCTAACCGAGTTCATGAAGCTGCACGTGGGTGAGCAATGTTCTTTTACGTCCGCTACAGTTGCCCGAGACCTTTGTACGGGAGTTCACAGCGACCGGTTCAACCTAAGGAACTCCAAGAACTATGTCCTGACCTTGGGAAACTTCCAGGGGGGCGGCATTTGGCAAGAAGGCCTTCAAGGTGATCGTTCTAAGGTGTCAGTGGAGGCGCCCTCTGGAGCGGTTCTACAAGGTTTCGTGCTGCCAGTCAAGGATAGAGTGGTGGAGGTTGATCCCAAGCGTTTGCACAGGACGATGCCTTGGACTGGAGGTCCAAAGTGGACTGTGATTGCTCATACCATTGGGGCGGCTCACAAGTTGAGTGGGGATGAAACGCAGTTGTTGAAGGATGTTGGCTTTCCCCTTCAGTCCACTATGCTCAGCTCCCGATGTTCCAAGGAGGATGACCGTGATGATCTTTGTCTCCCCGAGGGGTGGAGATCTTTGGAGACAGAGCGCTTCCCAGCTGGAGCTCGAGGAGGAGATGATGGATCGTATGTGGACGCGTAGAGTTCTGGATGAGGAGGAGCAGCTTGCTGGAGTTGTTCCTTGTGATCTTCAACCGGAGCTGGAGGGAGTATGTCAAGCTACCTTGGATGTGGCGGAGGCGCTTCACCTCCGAGAGACTCGAGGAGTATGTGATCGTTGTGATGAGGAACAATGGTTGGGTTTGTGCCGCATGACAGAGACGGAGGAGGAGACTTTTGGAGTCGAAACTATGCTAGAGGAGCTCCGGGAACCCCTCAAGGTTGTCTTCACTGTTGCCTTGGACGAGGTAAAGAACTACGCAGGTCGTTGGTCAGAGGCTATGCACAAAGAGATGAAGGCCTTGTTGGATGCAGGAGCGCTAGTTCCGCTCACTCCGAGCGAACAAGCTGAGCTAGAGGCCTCCGGGAAACTTGTGGTGCTACCCGCAAAGGGGGTCTTCATAGTTAAACCTCCTGATCTTGAAAGAGTTGAAGATGAGCTTGGCAATCCCCTTCCTCAAGGTTCTCCCCTCTTTGTCAAGAGGAAAGCCAGACTGGTGATATGTGGGAATTTCCAGGGGAGACAGGCCCGGGAAGATTCCTACGCTGGTGGTTGTCAGATCGACTCACTACGAACTATGCTGGTCCTGGCCGCCCATCGCGGATGGCGACTAGCTTCGACAGACATCCGCAACGCCTTTATCCTGGCCCCCATCAAGGAGGACGACGAGGAGGATGATGGCACTGTCTATGCTCTGTTTCCTCCTAAGGAGCCCGAGGCTTTGGAGTAAATTCCGAGACAAGCGCCTGTTGGGGATGAGGATTCCTTTTGTCCTAGGGTACCTGAAGCTTAAGCAGAGCAAGGCCGACGCCAATGTTTGGGCGGTGATCTATGTGGGACCGAAAGGCGACACCGAGACCAGGGCCTACCTCAATATCTACGTCGACGATGTCCTCTATGCCGGGAACCCTGAGGAGATCACCGCAGTCCATGAATGGTTAACTTCGGAGTGGAAGGCCTCAGAGTTATCATGGGCTACGGAGGAGGTGGTCATCAGGTTTCTTGGTTTGGAGATCGGCGTTGTAAAGGGAGGCGTGAAGATTGGCCAGCAAGCCTACGTGGATGAGCTGATCAGGCACCACAAGCTACAGGACTCCAAGGGGTTTGGCACCCCTTGCCCCCAGGAGTGGCTCTTGGGTGAATGTGATGAAGAGGTTCAGGAATATTCACCGGAACAGTTGAGGCGAGCTCAAATTCTAACAGGAGAACTCCTGTGGCTGAGTGGTCGTTCCAGACCTGACATCATGCATAGTGTGGCGACGATGTCATCTATGTGTGTAAAGAACCCGGAGCTGGTGGAACGTATCGGCTATAGGGTGTTGGGCTACCTCAAGAACACAGCCGGCATCTGCTTGTGGTACAAGCCGAAGGCCATTCGGTTTGATGTGCTGGGCTATTCGGACGCGTCATTTGCTCCACAAGGCTCGCGAAGTGTTGGTTGTTCTGTCGCTTGCTATTTGAACTGCCCTGTAAGCTGGCGCTGCGGCAGACAGAGCTTGGTGGCTTTGTCGGTAGCCGAAGCAGAGTTGCAGGAGGCGGTTAACTGCGTTCAGTTGATGCTGGGGCTGTCCAGTCTGGTTGAAGAGTTGCAGCTCTCAAAGCCGAAGCACGGCTTGAGAGTAGACAACCAAGCGGCGGTTGGCCTAACTACGGAGAGCGTTGGCACGTGGAAAACAAGGCACCTTCGTGTTCGGGCGTTTGCTCTTCGAGAAGCTGTTCGGACTGGTGAGTTGGACATCTCTCATATAGAGGGCCTTCGTCAACT